TTTCTAGCAACAATAAAGCGTGCTTGTCTTTGGGAATTGGAGATGCTAGATTATGAACCAACCCACCAAGAGGCTGCAAAAGGCAATAATAATGATGAAGATGATGGCTATGAGAATGTCAACCCTGTTGGTGCCAATGGTGAGCAGAGTGAAGATGGCGGTGAGAACGAGATTCTTTGAAACATAGTCATGCAAGAGAACCAGAACGTCCAAGAAGTTCTACCTCGACGAAAGCGTGCAAATCCACATTTGGAGGAATTAGTCAACAGTGATGATGACAAGACGTCCCCATAACCGAGGAACTTCTCGAGGTATATTTCTTTTAATTCTCTCCTTTTCTTAGTTCCTCAAAATGGTTGCAGCAAAAACTGTCGGGAGTAACTTCATTCCAGCTCGTCTTGATGCCTGAGAAGAGGACCTGGAGGAACTTACATCTACCATACGCCACATGACAGTATGTAAATTTTTCTTAAGTTCACATCTTATCTTTGTCTTCTCCCCTAGATTCGCCCTGTTTCTCTAGTGGCATTCCATGGTGAAGTTGGGATCTTTATTGGCTCTTACAGTTCATTGATGGCATCTTTTGAGGAGGATGCTGAGAATATGGCTATCCGGCAAAAGTGGGAGCGCTTTTGTCAGAAGATCCATATGCGACCGCTCAAGAGCACAAACTTCATGCTCTTCGACATGCCAAATGGTCTTCCAGACGCTAATGGTGATGTCCCAAACTAGAACAACCTGACTAAAGACCACTTGAAGGATGCATTCCTTTTGGCAGCAATTCTCTTTCACACAACCGGTTAAATTGCCTTCATTCTCCCGAATGACCCCCATTGGATGTCCTGCCTTATGAGGTATGCAACTCGAGTCAACTTCAAGAGGTTCTCTTCCGGGTGCATCATGGATAGTGTTGGGGTCGAGACCAAAGGCATCCTAAGCATGCTAGAGAAGGTAAGAAATCATCTTCTGTTTTGGTTGTCTCTAAAGTTTTATTATTCAGGTTATGATGTGGACCTACCATGTGTTCTACAAAAGAGAAAATGATGGTTTTTGTGATAGCGAGCGTGTTGCAAGGGTTTTGCCAGGGTATGATAGCTTTACTGACATCATACCAAATCTCATAGACGACGATATCCGCAACACATTGTCTGGGTATCAGTTCCAATCTCCATCGGCGATGCATGTCCTACTTGAGCTTTATTGCCCAACTAGGGATGTTGTCATCGATTGCACAGCAGTTAGTGGTTCGATGGTCGAAGCAGCACGTGACTTTAGTAGTCGGTGTTTGCGATTGAAGAATATGAGTTCTTCAAACGCTGTCTTAGAGTTTTTTGTCCTTCTCTATCAGTTGCTTTTAGGAGGTAATTTATGATGTTTTAAAAACTTATATACAATGAATGCATCCACTTGCAATGAGATAATGATTGTGATAGTGACAGTGTCAGTGCAATAGATAGTGATAGCGTCAATGACAGAGACAGTGTCAGTGTCAGAGATGACAGCGTTACAGTGTCAGTCTATCAAATTTCATAATTACTAGTATTATGAGTTTATTATCTATAGGTAATACAATTTTGTTAATAAAAAAAAGGTGAGAGGGGGGGGGGGGGGGGCGGGGATGGATAATATCATAGTGTAAGAATTATTAGTAGCTAGAATTTTCAGTAGGATGGCCTAAAAATACCATATTCAGCACTTGTGGATGTAGTATTTACTAACGGAATATTGTTTCTCACCATGAAATGATAATGGTTGTGTGTTTTTAACTCTTTTTTGATTTTCTTATACATCCATTTATGCACACCTTCCACACAAGTTCTTGGGCAATTGTGACAGTGTTCTAGAAAAGTTTCTAAACCCATATAGCCTTCTATTTTATCTAAATAAAAGTAGCAGATGGGACACTGGAGATAATATGTGTTCATTCTTTCAAAAGTTTCAGCCATATCTAGAGCCAGATGTTTCAAGTGCACACCTTCCAAACCACTTGAATGCTTCCACACCTTCCAAACCATTTGAAAGCCACTTGAAGCACATGAGGCAATCTATCTTTAGTAGCAACATCTAGAACATTATCTGGAAGAGGGATCTCTTATTCAGTCACACTTGGGGCTACAAAAGGAAAAGCCTCACAACGATTGTTATGTGGAGGTAAGGGTGGAATGTTGGTAGAAGTTGGAAATGAAGGTGGAGACTCATATGAAATGCATGGGGGCCAAGTGTGAGTAGCAATAGCATTTTCCCTAGCCATTCCTACACTCTAAACAAAATGAAATTTCAATGTTGAAAGCATCCTTTGTCGGTATTTATACTAAGAAAAGATTTAGGGGTTCTTGAAAGTCTAAATTGTCAGTCTCAAAAATAGGACTTTAGAATTATAACAGTGTCAGAACCACTTGTATATATAATAATATCTTTATACATGCTAGAATACTATCATTCTCAAAAATATAAGATTCTCCACTTTACTCAAAAAGAATTATACTTTTGAAAAAACTATGCATGACTTTCACATTACATTAAAAGGTGGCCTAAATATTCTATATTCAGCACTTACTGATGCAGTGTTCACTAATGGAATATTGTTCTCCACCATGAAATCATAATAGCTATGTGTCTTTAATTCTTTCTTGATTTTCTTATACATCCATACGTGCACACCTTCCAAACCCACTCTTGGGCATTTGCGACAATGCTCAATAAAATTTACCAAACCCATACAACCATCTGTCTTGTTTAAATAAAAGTTGCATATAGGACACTAAAGATAATATGTATCTACATTAAACTCCCTTGCCATATCTGGAGCAAGATCTTGAAGAAAATATTGACATCGCTCTTGGAGCATTGGAGGCAATCCAACTCTTTTAACAACATCATAAGGAAGGAATTCTTATTTAGTTGCACTCGAGGTCATAAATGGAACAACCTCATAACATCCCTCAAAATAAAAAGGAGGATTGTTGCGTAGAGGTGAAGGTGGATTATTGGTTGAGATTGGAGATGGAGGTGGAGACTCATATGAAAGGCTTCCGAGACCAAAAGTAAACTTCTTCCTAACCATTGCAACACACAAGAAGAATTAAACTTCCCAGCAATAAGAATTCTTTGATTAATATACTATATCAATCTCGGGAATGATGTTTTATTATGACATGACAATATATTGAATCATTATTGTCAGTCTTAGTAATTTCAACCTACTATGAGAGACAAGTGGCTATAAGGTTTCAAAAGCTAAAAACTAGCATATAATTAATATAGAGCCTTATTTTATATAGCTGGCTTGCCATATATAATAATGGCGAATACACACAAGCACGCGAGTATGCCTTTTTGCAAGATTACTTTTCAATCCCAAAATCATATATAGATTTAATTCTTTGATTTGTCCACATCATATATCTTTGCAAAGACAAAACATATCAAAAGGAATAAGATATATATAAAAATCTTACTTTTTTTTATAATACTTTAGTGGATTATAAAAGCCATTGAAAGGTTTATAGAGTGGATTTATTAGTGTTTTCCACTGTGCTGTCCATTTCTTCTTTTCTTTTGCTTTGGATTGTTATTTCAAAAGTAACAAGAGCATTTTTATCAATAGTGACAGTGGTCTCCACATTCCCGGATGGATAATAAGGACCAAACGTGTAATATAGAGATTGTGGTAGTGAAACAAAATTAATATTCTCACATTTCTGTATGCTAGAACTATTTACAGCTTTTTTGTCTTCCTTGCTTCCCATCTCTGTAAACCCTAAAGAATGAACGAGTGAATCAATGTTCCAAATTATTTATATATTTCTGGTCAATTGTTGAAATGTTAAAATATTGAAATGTACAATAGAAATTTTAGGTTCATTCGAACTTCAATATTCCCATTTTATTTAGGACTAATAAAGCCCAAAATTTTCTATGGGTTCAAACGAACTTCTAATTCTAGAAACAGTATTTTATTGTATAAATTGCATTAGAAAGATTCAAAAAATAGAAATTTCTCTGAACCATTGATACTTAAATTCATAAATTTCAAGTTCACCAAAGAATAACATTTTTCTGACTTAATATTTCCTTATAAGACTTATGGTTGATTATGTTAACTAGCATTGACTTAAGCTGAATTGAGCTCAATTCATAACTCAACTTTGGACCATCCCTGGATCAACAAGGGTAATCCCCAGTGCAGAGTGTGGAGCATGGATGATGGTGGCGAGCACCTTCTTGGATCTTACAGATGTCTACTGGGACGATTTTATGGCGTTCGAGTGCCTGCTGTGCCTTGCTGGACAGTGCTGCGATCGGTAAGTGGTTTTACATCTGTGGCAAGAGTGAGACGGTGGGGCAGCACAGTGTCGGCGAGGTGGTGTATTACCGGAGGGCGGTTGTTTACCGCCCCTCGCTGGTCAGGCCGTCCGGTGGAGGCACTCTCGGGCTGGATCCCGAGGAGGAGGAGAGGCTGGCGGGGCACCCTTTTCTATTTATAAAATGTCTATAATTTTGTTATGAGGAGGTACAACTCCCAAAAGGGATAGGTGGGAGTTCTGGTAAAAAATTGTGCAAACTTGTAAAATATATAAAAAGAAACATTTATGTGCTTAAATTGTTGTTACTCATAAAATAATATTTTGAATATAACCTTTTTTTTATGCATGGGCATCCATTGGTGCCCTGCAACAGAGGATCAAAGCAATTGGCTTTTGGGACAAGGTATACAAGGACATCTTCTTCTTGTGATTCAAGGTGTTTGTCCCGAACCTTGATGATAAACTTGTCAAAAAACCATCCATTTTTTTGAGCAACTTATTGCTTTAAACCCACTGGAACAAAAACATCCAAGACAGTATAAAACCTTAACCAAGCAAAGATAGTACCTTTTCTTTATTCAGATGCATGTGTCTGGATCATCGCGAAATTCTTCTAGAATCCTACAGCTGTAGTTTGTAGTTCAAACTTCAACACGTAGAACGTAAACATCAGATTAAAATAATTTTGTCATGGCCAAGCCTTCAGTCTCGCGGGGCTTGGATCAGTTTGGAAAGGAAACGTTTGGCAATGGAAATGTGGCTAGTGCTACTTGCTGTTCTTGCGGGATCACTCCTCATCATTTGGTTCCAATGCTGTAGTTTCCTCGTGTACCACTTGTGGAGGCCCAAGGTTCTGGAGAAGGTCATGTCCGCCCAGGGGGTCACCGGGCCTCCCCAGAAGAATCTCCTCACGCAAATCTGGGAGCTCCCGGATATGGAGCAAGTAAGTCACGACATTGTTCCACACGCGATTCCACTCCACCATGCATGCTTGCAAAAATACGGTAAAAGATCGATCCATCGATCTCTCTCTTCTCTCTCTGAAATCATTCTCTCGCAGGACCGCTACACATGAATTGGTGGCGCGTGGAGCCTCGGGTGGAACTTGCGGATATCGATCTCATGCGCAAGGCACTCCTCAAAGGTCCGGAGTTTTTCGGGAAATCGCCTGTTCTCGGGATGATGGCCGACGACATTTTCGGTGGTGGTGTCTTTGACGCCAGCGGACGAGACTGGGTGGAGCAAAGGCGCGTTGTGGTGCCTGTGTTTCACGCTGACAAGATCAAGGTCTCCACCTTCAAAACAGTCATAGATCTAGAGTGTGATTATCCAGATCTTTACAGGGAATGGTGAGAACCATGTACGAGAACACACAAAACTTCCTGGAGAACTGGGAGACGCTGGTTCGAAATGGCGGAACTGGAGAGAAAGCTCTCGACGTTTTCCCCGAGTTTGTGGAGCTCACAGCGCTCATCATTGGGCAAGCCGCGTTTGGGACCAGTTCCAGCACCTCCATAGCCATTGTCAAGCTCCTGCGTCTCTTGTTTGCTTTGCAATCGCAGCAAGTCAGATATGTGTGGATGTTTCCATTCATCAGGTAAGTCAACGTTTATGAGATTATTTCATACTCCATCCTCCCATGGCAGGAGTCTACCATTCCTTCCCATGAATCGCGAGAGATGGAGAATCAAGAGAGAAATCCATCGTTTGCTCCATGTGGAGATTGATTCGCGACGGGCTTTCACGCGGGAGAACTGTGCTGCCTCTCACGGGAGTGACTTGCTCGGTACGATGCTCGACAGCAACTGGGACGACGAGCTTATCATCACCGAGAGCAAGACCTTCTACACAACCGGGCACATGTCCCTCACTTCGTTATACTCGTGGGTGATGCTGCTGCTGGCCGTGAATCCAGAATGGCAGGAGAAAGCCCGAGTGGAAGTTTTGGAACTTGTCGCGAGAGAGGGGCCCCTGGACAACGCAAAAGCGCTAGACAAGCTCAAGCTGGTCCGTTGTTTCTAGAAAAGACAATACTGCTCTCATCACTATGCTATTGTCTTTCATGCAGGTTGAGATGACAATCATGGAAACGCTGCGACTCTATCCTGCGTTCCTAATCATTCCTCGAGTAGCGCTCAGAGATTGCTACGTCGACCACATCTTCATACCAAAAGGGCTGGCAGTATCCGTGCACAATACCGTGATACAACACAGTGCCGAGATGTGGGGAGAGGACGCAAACGAGTTTAATCCCGGTCGCTTTGCAAATGGAAGCCTGGCAGCGAGCAAGCATCCCATGGCTTTCATGCCATTCTCGTTTGGACCGCGGGCTTGCGTTGGTCGGGCGTATTCTCAGGTCCAGGCCAAGGTCGTTGTGGCCTCCCTGTTGCAGCGATTCAGGTGGAGCTTGTCACCTGATTATCGTCACAACCCCATGGCTGCTGGGACTTTGCTCCCCAAGAACGGAGTTCCCATTGTCCTGAAGCTGCTGGATTCCAAAACCATCGTTTCAAATGAAGGCAACCGGAGAGAGATCCTAACCTGAATTGATGATCAACTCGTTTTTACTGTTTTCATTCAAGAAGAAGATGTCCTCGCGGGCCTCCGTCAAATACCCGACTGCTTTAATCCTCAGGTTCCGAATCCTCCGTATTTCTAGAAATTCTAGCTGCTCCTCCTTGTGCCCCGCCGCCTCCTCCATCCTGAGAGCGCCTCCACCAGCGGGCCTGACCCCTGGATTGTAATGAACGTTGTCCCCTGTCCTCTCTCGTGCCGCAGCCACTCTTGTTAATTCTCCCCACGGATGTAAAACCACTCGCCGCGATCCAGGTCGTCAAAAATGCTATTGTAACGATCGCGGCACTGCCCGGCAAGGCATAGGAGATTGCCTTCCGCATGGCACTCCATCGCTTCACAGTAAACATCCGTAAAATCCAAGATGGTGCTCGCAACACCTCACGGTAGTGGCCACGATCTTCCAGGGGCATCCGTTCCACGCTGACAAGATCAAAGGTCTCGACTTTCGAATCAGTCTAGATCTAGAGTTCCAGATCTTTGCAGGAATGGTGGCAACCATGTCCAGGCACACGCAAAGCTGACAACTGGGAGACGCTGGTTCGAAATGCTGGCACCGGAGAGAAAACTCTCAATGATCTTCCTGTGTGAAGCTCGAACAAGCCGGGTTTGGGGCCAGTTTTAGCACCTCGATAGCCACTGTCAAGCTCCTGCGTCTATTGCTGGCTTTGCAACGGCGGCAAGCCAGGGATTCATCAGGTAAGTTCACGTTCTTATATATAAACAAAACTTCATGAGTCTACTATTTCTTCCTCTGAATCGCAAGAGATGTGTGGAGATTGGTTCCCGGCGGGCTCTCACGGGGAGTGACTTGCTCGGCACGATGCTTGACAGCAACTGGGACGACGAGCTTACCATCGCGGAGAGCACGACCTTCTACACAACCAGGAACGCCTCGCTCACTTTGTTATACTCGTGGGTGATGCTGCTCCTGGCCTGCAGGAGAAAGCCCGCGTGGGAGTTTTCGCGAGAGGGAAGCACTAGAACAATACAAAAGACAATAGTGTTCTCAGCATTATACTATTGTCTTTCACGCAGGTGGAAACGCTGCGACTTCACCCTCCAATAGCGATCATCCCTCGAGTGGCACTCAAGGATTGCTACGTTGACCACCTCTTCATTCCAAAAGGGCCGGCAGTATCCGTGCACAATACCGTGATACAACACAGTCCCGGACTTTATTCTCGATCGCTTTGCAAATGGGAGCCTGGCGGCGTGCAAGCATCCCTCGAGTTTCATGCCATTCTCGTTTCGAGCACGAGCTTGCATCGGCAGACCAAGATCGTCATGGCTTCCCTGTTGCAGCGATTCCAGTGGAGTGATTATCGTCATAACCCCATAGTTTCCGGGGCTTTGGTTCCCAAGAACGGAGTTTTAATTGTATTGGCGCTGCTTGGCGCTAAAGAAGATTAGTTCTTGGAGTTTCTTCTTGTCCAATATGCCAATCTTGATTCGCGGAAAATACTAAACTGTGGTTGGCACATCATAGCCAGGAAGTCGGCACTGGAGCGACATCTCATCCTCTCTCCTTGAGTGACATCTCATCCTCTCTCCTTGGCCTTTAATATTGTCAATTTGGATAGTTTATAGATTGCTCTGTGCAAATTGTTAGTATCTTACATTGTTACAGACACTTACAGATCGGTCCATGCGTTTTTTCTTTTTCTTTTTCTTTTTCTTTTTTCCTGAAGAAGGAAAACGTCTGTCAGTGGTGAGGGAATAAAACGAGTATGAGCAACAACAAGCTCCGGAGAGAGCGCGGAGCGCAGCCAGTCGCGGTTCTGGACGAGGGTCTGTGGCGCTAGGAGAGCTCTTACTCCTGGAGGAGCTTTTAGACTCGTGCTACTTCCCCCATCTCGACAGTATCAGGAGGCGAACGATTGAGAAACATAGCGATGCAAATGCGGCAACGACAAGCATGAAAGCAAACGCTTTACTGGGTAGGTTGAGAAGCTTTTGCATTTTCTTGAGTGCCGTGTAAGGGAAGCACTAGAACAGCTCAAGGTATAATACAAAAGACAATAGTGTTCTCGGCATTATACTATTGTCTTTCACGCAGGTGGAAACGCTGCGACTTCACCCTCCAATAGCGATCATCCCTCGATTGGCACTCAAGGATTGCTACGTTGACCACCTCTTCATTCCAAAAGGGCCGGCAGTATCCGTGCACAACACCGTGATACAACACAGTCCCGGACTTTATTCCCGATCGCTTTGCAAATGGGAGCTTGGCAGCGTGCAAGCATCCCTTGCGTTTCACGCCATTCTCGTTTGGAGCGCGAGCTTGCGTTGCGTTGCGTCAAGTCCAGGCCGCTGCAGCGATTCCTTGTCACCTGATTATCGTCACAACCCCATAGTTGCCGCGACTTTGGTTCCCAAGAACGGAGTTCCAGTCGTATTGACGCTGCTCCACTCTTAAACTTGATCCTCTTGATGACCTTGGCTCAAAGTTAGAAGATGGCAAGACCTGGGATCTGCATTAATGTACAAGTTCAAAAGCAAAAAATAAACAATTTGCCGGTACTATCTGTTGATGGGTGTGTGAAGACGGTCTTCGATTTCCCTCACCGCTGCCACGGACATCACCAGAGTGTCGTGCAATAAAATGCTGTAAACGTTCAATCCCTGCACGAAAGAAACTTTGTTTTCTCCGAAAGAATCTGGAAGGGACGGCATAACGCACCTTTGCTGGAATGACGTTAACTTCCTTGACATTTCGGCATGCGAGCGTGATCTCTCGCCCCATCTTCTCCACACCATCCACAATCAGCACTCTCCGGCAGCCCAAGTTTGGAACGAGCTTCATGAGCTGTCGCGTTTTGTGAGTTGGAAGATCAACATTGTCGAATAGCATCAGCTGCGAGTCACACACCAAGCCATATGAGTCCAAGGAGAAAGGAAGAAACCGTTTTTTCCAACCTTGCGCTCAGCCACCCGTGCGGACAGAGCGATTTTCAATCCGAGCCTTCGAACTTTCTTGTTGAGTTTGTACTCGTAGCTTCTCGGCTTGGGACCGTGTGCCACTCCTCCACCTCTAAACTGAAAATACACACGAAGGGAATGACAACTCAAAGCTGGAATAAGAAAGACTCACTTGAGGTGCTCGCCTGCTACCATGCCGAGCTTTTCCTGTCCCTTTTTGCTTGTTTATCTTCCTCGTTGAGCCCGCCACTTCGCCTCTAGTCTTCGTACTGTGGGTTCCCTGTAAGAAGAAAGGAGGAAGAACGAAGAAAACGCGTAAGAACCAGGCAGAACTAACAGGAAGCAAAGGAAGAACAAGAGAAGTAGAGAAGGAAAGTTTTAGAAGCTGACCTTACGTCTCTTAGCTCTCTGCCACTTGACGACATGATGAACGATATCTTTGCGTATTGGAACGTCGAAAATGTCCCCAGCGATAGTCACAGTCCCTTTGTCCTCTTGCTCCCAATTCGTGACTGGCAGCACTACATCTCTCATTTCTCCTGGATAAAAGAAGAAATTACAGCGCAGAGATCCATCGCGAACGATCGAAGTGCCACATTCTTTACCTCGCGTCGCAGCGACAATGTGCCTGGATTGGATCCATTTGCAGCAATGCTGGCCGAAGGAAGAGGACGAGGAGGTGGAGGAGGAGCGCAACACCGTCTGGAGAATGCGGAATCCGTGAGTGATCGCGGCGAGAGGGAAGAGCTTACCGAGAGCAAGGCGCGGAACATTACGCCCTAGAAATCTCCTCTAAAACCCTAAAGCCCGGGGGGGTTTTTGGCTATGGCGGCATTGATTTTGCTCGCTCCCTCCCCTCTCTCCTCTCGATTCTACTCCACATTGCAATGCGGGCATTCTTTGACGCGCCAACGCCTAGCGCTTGCTGGATCGCATCCGATCACAGCGCGATTTTGCGTCGCTGGTGCTGAATCGGGAATGCCGGAACAAGAAGATCAACCAGGAGCGCCGGCTGGAGGGATCGATCCACAGCAGCAATTGCCACAGGGATCCAATCTCTGGCAGGTAACGATTTCTTTTCATTTGTCTCAAGTCTCTTTTGAGCTAGAGTTTATTTCTTCGTTCTCCCATTTGTTCTTCGTCCATAGCTAGAGCTACACTCTTCTTTCGTCGTCCATAGCTAGAGCTACACTCGTCTTTCGTCGTCCATAGCTAAAACTTCTTTCTTTGTAGTCTTTGAGTCTACAAACTTTGATTTTCTTGGCTACTTGTAATCTAGAATATCTTTGCTCTTTGTACGTTCTTTGTTGCTAGACATTCTTTTTATATAGAGATTTAACGCACGATTGAACAGATGGACGCGACAGCATTGCGAGCAAAAGTAGCGGCGCTGGGATTATCCGCAGTTCTTGCCTATGGTCTCTTTGATGGAATCACATACACGACGTTCTTTGTTCTAGCTTTCCTTGGATACGAGAAGAGCACAGGACAAAATCCAGCCGCCAACCTCAAAGCACTGCTCGGCGTAAGAGTTTCTTCCTTGCATTTTCTAAGCTCTTAGCTACAATCTTCTATGCTTTCGTTCCAGATCGTTGTGCTAATGTGGACTGGGAACAACGTCACGAGACCATTCCGAGTTGCCGGAGCAGCGGCATTGGCACCACTTCTCGACCGGGCACTCAAGAAAATGCAAAAGCTTCTCAACTTACCCAGTAAAGCGTTTGCTTTCATGCTTGTCGTTGCGGCATTTGCATCGCTGTGTTTCTCGATCGTTGGCCTCCTGATACTGTCGAGATGGGGAAAGTAGCACGAGTCTAAAAGCTCCTCCAGCGGTGAGAGCTCTCCTACTTGTTTCATTCCCTCACCACTGACAGACGTTTTCTTTCTTCAGGAAAAAGAAAAAAAAGAAAAAGAAAAACAAGAAAAAACGCACCGACCGATCTGTAAGTGTCTGTAACAATGTAAGATACTAACAATTTGCGCAGAGCAATCTATAAACTATCCAAACTGACAATATTAAAGGCCAAGGAGAGAGGATGAGATGTCACTCAAGGAGAGAGGATGAGATGTCGCTCCAGTGCTGACTTCCTGGCTATGATGTGCCAACAACAGTTTAGTATTTTCCGAGCGAATCAAGACTGGCATATTGGACAAGAAGAAACTCCAAGAACTAATCTTCTTTAGCGCCAACCAGGGTTATGACGATAATCAGGTGACATGCTCCACCGGAATCGCTGCAACAGGGAAGCCACGACGATCTTGGCCTGGACTTGGGAGTAAACTCGGCCGATGCAAGCTCGCGCTCCAAACGAGAATGGCATGAAAGCCATGGGATGCTTGCACGCTGCCACGCTCCCATTTGCAAAGCGATCGGGATTAAACTCGTTTGCGTCCTCTCCCCACATCTCGGCACTGTGTTGTATCACGGTATTGTGCACGGATACTGCCAGCCCTTTTGGTATGAAGAGGTGGTCGACGTAGCAATCTTTGAGCGCTACTCTAGGGATGATTGAGATCGGAGGATAGATCGCAAAATCAAATGGGACGGCCATTGATTCCTCGTCCCAGTTGCTGTCGAGCATCGTGCCGAGCAAGTCACTTCCGTGAGAGGCAGCATTGGTTTTGCGCGTGTGAGCTCGACGGGAATCAATGGCCGCACGGAGCAAGCGATGGATTTCTCTCTTGGTTCTCCATCTCTCCCGATTCAGAGGAAGAAATGGGAGACTCCTGCCATGGAGGATGGAGTTTTGTCTTAATGAAATGATCTAACAAAGCTTACCTGATGAATGGAAATACCCATACATATTTGGCTTGCCGCGCTTGCAAAGCCAGCAAGAGACGCAGGAGCTTGACAATGGCTATGGAGGTGCTAGAACTGGCCCCAAACCCAGCTTGCCCGATGATGCGTGCTGTGAGATCCACAAACTCGGGAAAAACATCGAGAGTTTTCTCTCGAAGTTTGCTGTTGACAAGAATATTTTAAGAATATTCTGCCACACTAAAAGATTTTAGTGGTAATATTTTTATTAAATAAATATTTTAAACTGTGAGGGCCAAGTGTACGGCTATAATGCTGTATACTAATATTAGCGTAATGGAATTTTAGTAGCCGTTAGATTGGTTTCAATCCAAACCGCTCATTCCTGTATATAAATTAAAGTCTTTGGGCTAATTAATATGCACATTTTCTGTATTCTTTTTTCATATTCCAAACACTCACATTGGTGGAAATGAAAGGCACCTTTGAGTGTCCTTGAGGAGTGTTTGGATTTGGGATTTTAGTTTAGTTATATTTTTTGCATTGTCTAGATTTAACTTTTTCCATTTCCTTTCTTTTGTTCTTTCTTTTCAGGATTTTAGTTAAATCTAGCTTTTTGTATTGTCTAAATTTACCATTTCCTTTTAGCTTTTTGTTATTTCTCTTCTTTTGCTCTTTCTTCGTTTAGCTTCATGGCAGATCAATAATTTCTTCCTTTGACTTTGGAGCAGTAGTTGGTACAATTGCTTGATGCTATGTGCTTGCAATTGAACAACTAAACTCAGTTGATAGCGGCATTCACGGCACATGGTAGAACTCCTCCTACTTTTGGTGCCAATCTTCGTGTTCAGTCGGAGTTCTTTTGCAGGAATCTTGGGGATGATGTGTACCATTAATTCGATCACTTCACAATGATTTCCACATATCATTCTTGGGATGATGCTTGATGTTTGTGTGAGTTTCCCACGTGTCTCCAAATGACAGTGTTGCAATGGTACAATGGTTTGAGCATAGCCACTTGTGGGGATTGGAGTGTTCTCACGGATGTCTTCAAACGCGCTTTTAGACATGCCGATGATTATGATGATGCATTCTAACAATTGCATCGTCTTCGCCAAGGGCCATCTGAGTTAGTGATGCAATTTGGTGTTCGTTTCCGAAGTTTTTTGTTTTGTGTGGAGTCAAATATATCGGAGCGGACCAAGCTAGGAATGTTGTGGTTAGCATTTTGTCAAAATCTTGTCGGACTTGTGCATGCACTTGCTCTTGCCACCCTTGATAATGCTCTTCGCTTGGCACAACATTATAAGACGTCACCTCTTCCACTTCTCGCTGCACGTCTTTTAGCCGCCACTCTTGACGATGCTTTTCGCTTGGCACAACGTTATGAGACATCACCTCTTCCACTTCTTGCTGCACGTCCTTCAGCTCCACTTCCTATGGGTGATAGTCCTGTTCTAATGGAGGTTGATGCTACTGTTGCTTGACTCCAAGGACAAGGGTGAGAACGTGGTCGTGGCCGCGATGTTTGCTGCTAGGCATATGATGAAGTTGGTCATACTTATAGGTGTTGTCGGTGTTTTCCGGATTGGCGACCTTCATTTCCTGGGTGGAGACCTTGGCGTTAGCAACGTCCTGTTGGTGCTGCTGCAGTGGAAGGTTTGGACACTAAGATACATCTGGGAAATGAGGAGTCGCGTAATAACAGAGGGACCTTGCGTGAATAAATCAGTGATCCCTCCATTTTTCTTTTGGGAGCATCATTAAGGGGTTCACTCGGTACCGATTCATCTAGTGCTTACTTGGTATTAAAGCTATTCCTTAGTCTAACTCTTTTTGATAATCAAATATATCAACATTTGATATTGATATTAAAAGGTCCCAAAAGTGGTTATATTCTTAAGGAGTAACATGTCAAAAGGGTATAGCTCTCCACTTTAGTTCATACGCAAAAGCCAACTTCAACATTGAAGCTAACAAGTCAAAATGCCTTCCCTAACAACTTCTAACAAATGGAACAATGAGAATAAAACTCAAAGAACCAAAATCTTGAAGAAGTCTATAGCTAAGTCTTGTCTACCAATGATCACAAGTCTCGCATGAACTAACTTTAATGCTAAAGAAGAAATCATGGCACAATCCATAATATCGTCCTCAACACATCCATAAACTAAACTTCATAATGCAAAGCTAATGAAGAGCATATATGCATTAATCCAAAAACTAAATACAATGGAGTTATGCTCAACAAGTGATCACTAAACAATCCTCCATGAATCCATCTATAGAAGACGTAACTCACTTCCTAACAAGCACAAGACAAATTATCAATGGTTGATATATTTCAATTCAAACCCAATAAGGATTCAAACATTTCAATATCGATCACTAACTCTTTGTCTCGTAAAGTTAGCATAGTCCATGACTAAACCGCTTTTCAAGGAAAAGCTCAAATCTCAACCTTGACTAAGCAATCTTATCTAGAACACAACTAACTCAACTTGCCACTCAGTTCATTTGAATGTCAATACAGTTGCTAACTAGCAAATGCACAAATGCTAACAACATAAAGCTATTACCAAATCATCAATATTATCTTTATCAAGACTAATGAAACTCAATATCAATCCTAAGGAGAGACATTTCATTTCACTCAAATTTCAACATCGACAATGTCAACAACAGGGCATCACTTCAATGCCATCAACACCAGAAAAAAACTAGAAGAAAGCAAAAGTGAATCACCACTCAAAACTCTTTAGCAACTAAGCTAACCAAAGTCAAAGATACTTTACTCGTATCCAAGACTAATCCTCCAACAATACTCAGTTATAGATAACATATTATCAAGGAGTGATTCACCACATCTAAGACTCAATGAAATCCAACACCACGAACTAAATGCAACCAAATGATATCAACAGAGGTAAAGTCGACATGCCAACATGGAAAACCCATGTAAGTCTAATGACACGATCCTCCGCAACACCATTCGGTAAAACAAGCCCATCACTGCTAAATCATCATTGAGTGAAGCAAGTGTTAAAAGTCTTTGACGAAGTCTACAAGTAATCACTAGTTGCAAAGCAACCAACAATCACTCTTCAACTTGCCTTCACAAGACCCAAACACTAAACCCATGTCATCAAGTCATATACTTTGCCCAACATGAATGTAATACTCCCAGGTACGAGATAAAGGTTCACAAACAAGCATAACTAAATGACTACTCGAATCCAACTCAATGGCAAAAAGCTCACTAATGCATTTAATCAATAGCTCTGAGTATGTCTTGAAGAGGCTAGCTATGCATGATCAACACTCAGTCGAAACTAAAGTGAAGACCATGAGATGGACTTATATCGGTACACAACCTCCTTATAGACAAAGCTATAATACGGGTACCAACATCTCAAACTCAAACAACTAAGTTGGACATCACCATCCTTAGCCAAGGCGCAAGGCCACCAAGACCAAGTCAAGATTAGTGAGAGCTCACTATTCTCATAGAGTCTAAAAAAATGCAAGGTGCAATCTGCCACCTAGCACAATACTACAAAAGAAAGGCACAAAGGTCACCTTTCTAGAAAAGCGCAACGGCCACTTTTCTACACTAACTCCAGACTCTATCCAACTCAATTGCCTTAGCCCCAAAAGTTAGCATCCTTTTTGGGCTACATCATACAAACTACCTACTAAAGTCTAAACTAATCAAAGTCAACTCCAACCCCTTCACTAGTTTATACTGGTTTATGAAAACGGAATGGTTTTCGGACAAAGTGATCAACAGATCAGCCATTGAAAAAGTCTAAGAAAATTTATGGAAAATTTTCCATCTTAGAAAAAGAATGACTCTTAGTCCAGAAATACAAACTTCCAATACTCAACCAACTTCCTTCTACCTACAACTTCACATAGGTTCACCTCAACACCAATTCTCATGACCCATAGTATGCTTAAGCTTTGAACATTTTTTTACCTATACTTCCGACATCTAACACCGACATCCGCAAAATGCAAAATGAACATCCAAGGCTTGATCACGAAGACCACTTCTTCAGATATCCACATTACATTAACACTCTTTTTCAATCACCTTCAAGATACAATGTATATCCTCGAATTGCTAATGTGCCTCACTCATGAGCCCAAGCTCAAACTCATGCTAACGATTCAGCTTATTCCATCCTATGAGCCCAAGAGCAAGCTCACATCATAAGGTACAGCAAGGTAACCAAATTCATACCCAAGGAACGATTGCGAAGCCTTTGCACCAAAGCGTGTACCCACTCGGATCATCGTTTTCATCTCTGCATATGTAATGAAACTAATTGCCCAACCTCATTGAATATACTCACTGAGACTCATCCTTTGATACCAAATGTAGCACATGTGGTTTTGACCCTTTATCCTATGGTGATTTACCATAGAATAACACCACAAAGCGGAACCTAAACCCTCTTTGTGCCACATGACAGATGCCACGTGTCACATGCCATATGTCCAAAAGAACGTGGTGTGGTACCCAAGGTTCAGGGCCTTGGGCCACTGAACGAAGGAACAGTGCCAAACTCCCAAGCATGGAGCCAAAGAATGATGGAACCGGATCACGAAGTAACTCCCGAGCATAAAGCCTAAAGAGTAAAGGGACAGGAACCCGGAGCAACTTGGAACAGTCCTAGAGTAACCAACATCCCAATGCCAAGACCAGCATGCAAAACGGAGCCAAACGGAGTCAAACGCTATTTTGGCATACCGGTGGCCTAACGCAAAGACATGGGTACTCCACCAACTAGCATAGAATGGAATTTGGGCTTAAACCCAAGCCGAACATAGAACAAGGACAAGCACACAAGCGGGAGCTAGTCTATGCCTCGGGCTGGTTAGCCATGCCCGACCTACCCATTATCCCTACTATACATTTGGAACCCCCTACAGCCCCCCCCCCCCCACCACCAATCTCAATATGCGAGAGTTCTTGTCAAGCCAGTGCAAGACAAAGCAAAAGATAATTAAGAGCTAGGCCGAGTATGCTCAGCTAGAAACAATAGGAGTTCCTACCTTATGTCCATTTGGCTAAATACAGGTGCTAAGCCCAGTAAACTAACACTTGAACAAGAAGGGCTGATAAAGGGAACCAGCAATACCAACCTCCTGCCAACGTGGCAGTAAGGTAAGAGTGTTCGTAAGGACTGACTGACAGGTAATTTTCGATACCCGAAATCACATTCACGACAGTAATCTAGCAAGAACACAATTGAGAATGAGTTCCATATTTCCTTTCTTCGAGTTAGAGAAGAGTACTATTTAGGTGTAACAATATTTTGAGATATGAAGAAAAGAAATCATTGGAAGTTTACCAGCATTTTGGTTTAGTTCATTTAGTCAACCTTATAGAATTTTTGTAATCAAGTATTGTTTAAAGCTGAATAATATTTTCACCTCAACTTCATTATTTTTTATCAAATACACTCATTTTTAAAAGGAGAGTTTTATTTCTGATTTAATATTTTCTTAGCTTAAAAAATTAATGATAATGTGGCAAACAGTTTGTAATGAGGAGGTAGAACTCCTAAAAGGCCTGGGGTAGGTGGTCGAAGAAAAAATTGTGCAACTTTGCAAAATATATAAAAGAAAACACATGTGTGCTTAAATTTTTGTTGTATGATATTTTTGAATATTATGTTTAAATTGTTGTAATACATATATATGACTTACAAAGTAATATTTTGAACATTATTTTGTTTTAGGCATGAGTTCTTGCCTGCCATATATGCATGGCAAAGTCCAAATCAATGCTATATGCATTGCATAAATTTCAATTTCAAGTTAGCAAGTTAGATTTTTTGACATGTCAACTTTGGATTAGAAGGTGAGTGCACTAGTTAGATTTTGAGGACCTACCACAAACTAAGGTTCTAATTGTTGTTTACTTGGGGCACTTTCCCTTGTGAGGGTAATAAAAAATATTTTGTGAGTGGTTTTGCAATGTATCAAGAAGTTTTTGTGCTAAATTGAGAAAAGGCTTGTAAAAGAAACTATGATGCTGAACACCCCAAACACTTCATGAAATACTTTGCCCTTCAATCAATTGCACTCACCTTTGTGCTAATTGATTGCTACCTAAATTAGGGTGCTGCACTATAAACAAACTATGAAAAAAGAAGCACTTGCAAGCTATTGAAACACTGTGCTTACATTAGGGTACTTTGTGCCCCAAGTAATGAAAAATGAGCCAATAGCTATGCAAAATGGGAGGAGAGAGGTGATCATAATCAGGAAATCACAAATTTACACTAACAAATGCATAAAATTAAAAAAACCTTACTAAATTTATGATTACACCACATCATCTAAGATGATATAGCATCAATCTTATATAGCTGTTTGAGGTGTCATGCTCTATGAATATATCACTTTAAAAGTGTATTTTTGCATGGAACTCAAATAAAAAAAGTAAATCTGCAGTGTAGATATATAATGTAAGATATGCAATCATATATTCATTACCATACACGTCAATTAAAAAAAGGAAAGTCTCCCAAAGAGCTCAACTTAACATCCAAAAAACACTTACTTGATTTCTCCAAATTGTTGTAGCTTATATCTAGGCTTCTATAGCTTGATTAGCAATATTTTTTTGCTCATTTCAGTTTATTCACACATCATAATGCTATTCCCTGATATCAGAAGGCATGTTGCCAAAACAATCTCTCACCTTGGAGGAAAGTGGTAAATTCTTATCAATTAGCACAAGTTCTATATTAAATTGAGTTTCTCCCACACTGCTGAATTTGAGCTAAAATTTCAATTTTAGCCACACAACTCAGAAGTTACTTCTTCTTCTTCTTCTTCTAGCATGCAATTGGAGTTTAAATTATTAATGTGAATGCATCATTTATTTCCTCTTTAACTCACATTCAGCAGCCCCTGATTTTGTGAGCTCCAATGTCTTCTCTTTACTGTCAAATGTTTGAGAACATTGCAGGAAATGATGCGAGTTCTCTGTGGTAATTTTTTAAAAAAGATTTGGTCGCAATACGTTAAACAAGCGAGCTCTCCAGAGTGTGTAGCTGCCTAGAGCCCAGCAGCTTGGCCGTAAGTTCCCAAGTGACTATAGCAGCCGCGTTAGCTGGGAAAGCTCGCACCAAAGTCGGGCCCAAGCCGGTGTAAAGACCTCGGAAGCCAAGCTCTCTCCGGATCTGCAAGTGTTTGTAAGATACGATGATATATTGAATCGAGCTCGAACTGAAACAAACCTTTCTCAAGTTGAACAGCAAGCTCCTCGACTCGCTCAAGTCGAGTGCCGTTTGTATCCGTGTCTTGGCTACGTCAAATGGTAAAACTGCTACCCAAAACTGCACAAAGAACTCTTTTAAGTTCTTTACGAAAGTGGAAATAAGAAAAAGAATTGCACCGCCATTCCAGATACTCCCCCGCTAACAATTCCAACGACAGCCTCGAAGAGTGTCTGGGAGAATGAGCTTGCTTGTAGCCGGGAGGATAAACTTGTCTCCTTTGAAAGGTGCGACAGCATGAACGACCGACTCGTCTCATATGTTGCAAAAAAGCACATATTTCCGACACATTCCCTGAAAAATGTAGCTGACAGTCCTCGAAACAATCCTGGAACCTGAGGAAAGACCATCAAGTTTTCTTCAGCAGCTTATTGCTTACCCCTCCAGCGTGAATAGTTTTTTTTGCACAATCCAATGGACCGGAGTATCTTCGCAGCTCTTTGCTCGAAGAACCCTTCTCTTGAACCTGGAGCCTACACTGGAACAGGAAAATTCAAGCTAGGTGAAAGGATTTTAAGAGACAATGAAACCACACCTTAACTAGTTCCGTAGGACAGAGTATCAAACTGATCATTCCTCCACCGAATGCTGCGGAGGGCAGCACAGTAGAAAGATTGGGTGTTCTTGCTGCTGCCTCTCCTCCCTTCCTAAGCAAAGCACCAAGAGAAAAATCACTGAGAGAGAAAAACTAAAACATCGCGCAGATAGTAGTACCTGCAATCTTGCTTTTGTCTGTGAATAAATGCCGAACAGCAGCGAGCCTTCAACAGCCATGCCGGCAAAAGAAGATGTAGCACCTTTGTACAAACCTCTTACCTGGAAACTCCACAAAGCGAATCAAGTTAGAAGAACAAACCCAAGTGGACACTCTTACCCCTTCGTGATTGAGAATCCATCCTGCACAGCGAATGGCGCTAGCATGCGCTACTGGGCTTCGGGCTTGTAAGTTCACCTGGACAAAAACATCAATGCCACCCCTGGATCAGAAAAAAAACAAACCTTGACAGTGTCGAATGGATGCCCGACGGTCACAGTCGCCAATCCAGCCGCCAGTCCTGCCGCATAGTCCTTCACGGCATTCTCCATGCTTTTTAGGGCTCCGAAAGATCCTCTGCTTTTGAGGAAAATGGGGGAGAGAACAAAACGAACTTTTGACTGCTACTGTTGCTGCTGGTCCTGCTGATGCTGATCTTGCTCTGGTTGCTGCTGACTAAGATTCACGGCGTACTGCTTCATGACAACAAGAGCATGAGAAGCCACCTTCATTTCTTCGATGGCTTCCAGCATTATGTCCGATCCAGTAGTTGGACCTGGATGTAGAAAGAATCAGCGTCAAGCATGGATTTCTTTTTAGCTGGTTTACCTGTTCTTTCTGGGATCAGCTTTGCTATCGCTGCCGAGACTGGTATAACATCGACTTCCTTGTCTGGAGCACTTTGCGGTCGTCTGGCAGCGAGTGAATGGTTTACTTCCATCTTGACGAAATCGACTCCTGGCTTACTGTTCTGCTGCATCTCCTGATTGTAGAATTGCTTACGAAGCTGAAAGAAACTTCAGCCACTAAGCCTGCCCGTGACTAGAGAGAAAAAAGCTTACCTGTTCCTGCAATTGCAAAAGAAATGGACTTAAACATCAAGCTCATCCAAAATTGCAATTTTACCATTTGGCTCGAGGGTAGACCATGGTGATCTGAGCTTGCAGAAGTCGTGGCTGTGACTTGTGATGCTGTCGCCGAGGCCAAAGTTTGAGCAGCGACATCGAAGCCTTGATGTGAGGAAGCATCTGGAAAATAGAAACTCAATAACTTTATGCTGAAAAAATCCAGTACCTTGGGAAGATGCTGTGGCTGTTGTTGTGGTGGTCACGGTTTGAGAGGTCACGGTGGAGGTCGCAGTAGAATGACTAGCAGTAGCAGACTCCTCTAGATCAAGAAAACACATATTAGTTTCAGTGAGAAAAGATAATTCTACTACAAACCAGGATACACTTCTCGTACCGGAGGCGAGCCAGTGAAGGAAAGACCACTTCGAATCTCATACCGTATAGCATTAAGCTGAGCCATTGCCTCTTTCAACTCTTTGTGAACCTAAGAAACCAAAAAACGATCAATACATTTTTTGTAAAGCTCTCTCGATGCTCTGCGCAATTGTGCGTTACCTCGCTCATCTGAGATTTTCCCATCACGCCATCGAATTCGCCCTTGGTAGTCTTCACAAACCCCACAGTTCGTCCCACAAGCCTTCCCCCCATTCTGGCGTACCTGTGGATGTCCTTGGGGCCTGCAAACGATCGAAACATCACTCACAATGGATCATACTCCGCCATTACTACCGCTCACAGCGATGAACACCCCCAGCGCCAGAGCGAGCGTCGTGTAGGACACCATCCCGCGCTCGTGCGTATAAACCCTAGAACAAAGCCAACGTTCAACCCAAAACAGATCCCAGCCGTCCGAGAATAAACCGTTGGATTCTCCATTTTACGGCAGCCACAAACCGTGCGCCACGTGTCACCTATGTCGGACGCGATCTAACGGCCAGGAACACCTTATCTCCTTATTACTGGCCAGCAGACGAGGAAATTACCCGCTAATGGGGAGAATTATTTCGGGAATTAGCGCTAATCGAAGCTCTAGCGAGGAGGAGATAGATAGCACAGTTCTAGGCTTATTTGCTGGCCTCTTTGTTGTGTGGAGAGGAAGAAGTGGCGGATTGAGGCGGCCATGGCGGCAGCGTCCATCACGCCGGCGTGTGTCCGATGCAATGCCGCTGCTGTAAGTCTCAATCATCGCGGAATTCTCTGTTCTAGCGCTAGAATCCACGAGATTTCTCGCCGTTTGTCACATTTGCATTGATCGATTGGAAATATACTGGCGCAGAGCAAGGGCTTCTCGGATTTCTCCGGCCTCAAGAGCAAGAACGCCGTCACATTCGGGAGAGGCGCCGAGGATTTGGCGTCCAGAGTTGCCGCCCAGACTTGCAAGGTTTGAAAATCTTCTCGTCTATCGCTTTTCTCCCCTTTCTACTTTCATTATAGATGCTATGAGAGTGTAGGTTTCGAGCTCTGGTGGAGCCAAGCGCGCTGTTGCCGAGGCCAAGATCAAAGTTGCGATCAATGGATTTGGAAGAATTGGCCGGAACTTCATCCGCTGCTGGCACGGCAGGAAGGACTCGCCATTGGACGTGATTGTCATCAACGACACTGGCGGTGTCAAGCAAGCATCCCATCTCCTCAAATACGATTCCATGCTTGGAACCTTCGACGCCGACGTGAAAGTATCTGGAGACAGCGCCATCTCGGTTGATGGCAAAGTCATCAAGGTGGTCTCCAACCGAGATCCTCTCAAGTTGCCATGGGGGTGAGCGAAAAAAAAGATGGAAAAAGTTCTCTCGAATTCTTTTCTTTGCTAAAGTTGATTGTTCTTCTTCCAGAGAGCTTGGAGTGGATCTCGTGATCGAAGGCACCGGCGTCTTCGTGGATCAAGAAGGCGCTGGCAAACACTTAAAAGCCGGTGCCAAGAAGGTGCTCATCACAGCCCCTGGAAAGGGTGCCATTCCAACGTACGTCGTCGGAGTGAACGCCGAGCAATACAGTCCCACGGAGCCGATCATCAGCAACGCCTCCTGCACGACGAACTGCCTGGCTCCCTTCGTCAAAGTCCTGGATGAGAAGTTCGGTAAGTTCCTCCAAAAGCTCTCTCTCGATCGATGCTAGAAACTCTTGCAACTTCCAGGGATCATCAAGGGAACCATGACAACAACACACTCGTACACCGGAGACCAGCGCCTGCTCGACGCCAGCCACCGGGACCTCCGCCGAGCTCGCGCCGCGGCGCTCAACATCGTCCCCACCTCCACGGGGGCCGCCAAGGCGGTGGCGCTCGTCCTCCCCAAGCTCAAAGGCAAGCTCAACGGCATCGCGCTCCGGGTACCCACGCCAAACGTCTCGGTGGTCGATCTGGTGGTGCAAGTCGAGAAGAAAACCTTCGCCGAGGAGGTGAACGCCGCGTTCCGCGAGGCCGCGGACAAGGCGCTCAACGGGATCCTGGCGGTGTGCGACGAGCCGCTGGTGTCGGTCGACTTTAGGTGCTCGGACGTCTCGTCAACGATCGATTCGTCGCTCACCATGGTGATGGGCGATGATATGGTCAAGGTGGTAGCGTGGTATGATAACGAGTGGGGCTACTCGCAGAGAGTGGTGGATCTCGCCAACATCGTCGCCGAGCAGTGGAAGTGATGGTCTTCGAGCGAGAAATTTCAAATCGAAGGAAGCATGGATGGAGATTGATAGAGCTGCTGGAGCCGGATTTTCGTTCGATTTAGAGCCCACATTTTGACCGGAGCTCGGAAAGAAGAAGAAAGGAATTCCATCTCGCTGTGTATTTCTATGGCATCAATAAGGACGCATAAACCCTGAAGCAGGGGTTTTTGTCTACCGTACATTTTAGATCTCGTTCTTACTATTAGGGTTCTTGGGCCAGTGGATGCTGAAATTTTTGAAATCGTTTCAGCTGCGTCGCCAATGCAGCAGCGTGGCTACTGTCGGATCATCGCCGACGCCTAGGGTTAAAGATGGAAGGCTGGCGATCTCAGCCAGGCTGATGCTGAGGCGATTGGAGGCGGCACCGAGCCAGCAATGCCGGCAGGATGTGCTGCGATCCAAGCTAGGTCTGATGCGCAACTGCAATTTCTGGAAGCCGCTGATCCAGACGCTGCAGAAGAAGGCCAGGAGCAAATTCCTGTGCATCGAGGTGAGTGGAGTTTCTAGGAAGAGGTCGTCGTTCTTTTTGTTTTAGTTTTTCTTTGTTAGTGAGATGTTCTTGCTCGTATTCCGGTACGCATTCCTTGATAGTTTTTCTTTTTCTTCGTGTTCTTAGAACTTTTGCTCCTGGGACTTCTTTCGGTCAGGATCATATTCTCTGTTCCTTGATAGTTTCTCTTGGGATTTCTTTCGAACTCCTGCATTCCCTTGTCAGGTTTTCGACTGGATCAGGCAAGAGTTCCCTGATGCTAGCAAGCCTCAGATATACTCAAACATGATCGCGTACGCCGGAAGCATTGGAATGCCACAGCTCGCTCACGCTTGGGTCTCCGAGATGAAGATCAAAGGAATCAAGATGTCCACGCCGACGTACAATGCTCTGGTAAGCGTCTTCTGCCGGAGTGGAGAGATTGAAGCGGCCGAAAAGATGCTCGAGAACATGAAATGGGCCGAGTGCCCACCCAACGTCTCCACTTACAACACGATTCTAGCGGCATACGGCAGAAGCTCGGACATCGTCCAGATGGAAAAATGGCTGGAAGAACTGAGGAAAGCCGGGCTCACTCCCAACGTAGTCACTTACAACACGCTGCTCTTCTCCTACTTGAAGAAGGGAAGCCTTGCGAAGGTTGACGAGACATACAGGGAGATGCAACTCTCTTGCAAGCCGGACGTCTTCACCTTCGGGATCTTGCTACACGGATATCAAAAGCTCAACATGGTGGAGAGGATGGAGCAGGCTTTTGCGGATCGGCAAAAGAGCGGGCTTCCAGTCGGTGCTATCGCTGCTCAACGTATGATCCGGGTTTACACCAAGAACAAGATGTTCTCCAAGATCAAAGACATAACAGCCATCCTGGAGCAGGCTCCGAGAACCGTCTACACGACTCGTCTCAACGGAGTGATCCTGGACGCGTTTCTAAGCGCCGGTGGCTTCGACCAGGTGGAGCACGAGATGAAGAGAGTTGTGAAGCAAGGCAGAGCTTTCATGGACCCGGAGGTGCTGGACGAGGTGGTTTCGGCGTTCTTCGAGAACTCGGCAGCCGAGAACCTGGGCGGGCTTTACAGATCCATGAAGGCGGTTTCAAGGTGGCGGATGTATGCTTCGACTTACGAGCTGCTCGTCCGGGGTTTCGCAAAGCACGGCGACGGCAAGATGGCGATGGAGGTTTCCGAAGATATGGAGATGGCGGGATGGAAGTGGTCAGTGGACACGATGCAGGTGTTATACGATGTGTTCAAGAAGGCGGGCGATAGAGAAAAGCTGGGCCTCATCGTCGAGAAGATGGAAAAGCTGTGAGCCAATCTTTTCTCTTCTCTTTTCTCTCTCAAGGTGATGCCTGATAGACTTTGTTGTGGATTCGATGACCAAGGAGCCGCGAATTCCTCCCAGCAAGTAAATCTCATGTAAAAAAATCGAGTTTTTACGACTGTGCCCCTTTAAAGAAAGGGGCATTAAAGCAGGGGTTGCTATTTTAGGCGGAATATCCTGGTGTCGTGGAGAAAAGATTCTCTCATTGGATCCCTTGGAGCTGGGCGGGAAATGGACCTAGCTCCAGGGCTCGATCAAGAGAAGGGGAGGAGGAGCAGTGTGATCTCGGCGCCCTACCCGTGATCAGCCGGCGGTAGGGGATCGCAGGAGCGAGAGGAGGGTTTTTGCCATGGCCAAGAGGAGGAAATCGACGCCGAGGAAGCGAGGGCGACCACCAGGTAGGCGGCTTTTCTTTGAGATTGTTGGGGTGCGGTTTGATCCATGGAGTGCGCAGCGGGCGGCGATGGCGCTGGGACGAGCAGAGCCGGCGCCCAGCAGAACAAGCCGCACGGCAAGCGCAGGTTTAAGCCCGGGACTGTGGCGTTGCGGGAGATCCGACGCTTTCAAAAGAGTTATGAGCTCCTTCTCAGGCCATTGCCATTCGCAAGAGTGGTGAGTTCTCCAAGTTCTTTTTTTTTTTCCTCTCTTTTTTGCCTCTCTAGTCTCTGACAAAGCTTTTGCGATAGGTGAGAGAGATCACGAACGTTTTCTCGTCGGAGGTATCCAGATGGACTGCCGAAGGATTGATAGCTCTCCAAGAGGTCGAAAGAGCGTTCCTTTTCTTCTTTGTTCTTTCTTTTCGTGGTTTCTCGCTTGAAATCTTTGCTTTGTTTTGCACAGGCTGCCGAGGACTACCTTGTTCATCTCTTCGAAGACACCAACTTATGTGCCATTCACGGCAAGAGAGTCACCATAAGTAAGCATTTGAAAGAGAGAAAAGAGTTCTTTGTTTTGGAGCTGGCTGACAGTTTCTATACCAGTGCCCAAGGACTTACATTTGGCCCGTCGACTAAGAGGAGCCTCCGAACGGTTCGTTTGATACTTTTTCTTTTTACGTTATCTCCTCTCTCGCGCGGCCGGTTTCCTCGTCGAGGGCCGGGTCATTGTTTGTATCCTTGGCGATTATTCCTAGGCTTTGTTCGCCGCGTCTATCTAATTCTGCCCCTCAGTGTAGCCTTTGCTTCTCAAGGGCGGCCATCAAACAGCCATGCCATCGACTCCATCAACGAAATTCTCGAGCTTCCGCTACTTCGATCCTTCAGGTCTTACTTAAAGTTTCCATTTTATCTCTAAGCTCTATGGGAGCTCTCTCCAAGCTCTGGTGTCTTGGTCCGAGGCGCTGTCAGGACCGGGTTAGGCTGCTCACAATCTACAAGTTTAGAGACTTGGAGCTGGCCACTGGCAACTTTGCCGAGGAGAACTTGCTGGGACGGGGAAGCTATGGCTCGGTTTACAAGGCAGTCCTCAAGAACGGCCAGCTTGCAGCGGTGAAGCGGGCCACTTGCACCACCGCGAATCCTTCCACCAGCAAGGAGCGCTTTATCCTCTCCCAGATCGAGTGCCCTCACGTCGTCAACTTGCTGGGCTTCTGCGAGCGCAACGACGAAGTCCTCCTGGTTGTGGAGTTCATGGCCAACGGCAGCTTGCACGACGTGCTCCACTCCAAGCTCTCGTCCTCGAGCCTCAGCTGGTCGCGCCGGGTCCGCATCGCAGTCCAGACCGCAAGGGCGCTCCACGCGCTCCACAGCTCTACGCCGCAGATCATCCACAGGGACGTGAAGAGCTCCAACGTTTTGATCGACGCGAATTGGAACGCTCGGCTGGGGGACTTTGGCCTGGCGCTGCGAGGCGACACCAAGGACATCATGTGTACTCCGGCGGGAACGCTCGGCTACGTGGACCCGCGCTACGACAAGCCCGAGAAGGTCGGGCCCAAGATCGACGTCTTCAGTTTTGGCGTGCTCCTCCTGGAGCTCATCTCCGGCCGCCAAGTTATCGACGACAGGATGTCTCCAGTCCGCATGGTGGACTGGGCGTTGCCGCTGATCAAGCAGGGGAGGGCTCTGGCTATCTGCGACCCGCGCGTGAGGATCCCGGAGGGAGAGGCAGCAGGGATCAAGCGGATGGCGGTGCTGGCGGCGCGGTGCGTGAGGCGGGAAAGCAAGCGGCCGTGCATGGGTGATATCGTGCTCACGCTGTGCCAGATCCAGCGCGACCGCTTCCATACTTCCAGGAGCAGCAGGAAGATGGTGATCAAGCGCGCGATACTTTCGTGTCCCAAGGACACCGGAGTGATTAGTTTTGATGAGCGATTCTCCTCGTCCTCGAAGTCGAAGTCGAAGTGGAGCTTGCAGCAGGGAGGAGACCAGCAGAAAGTGATTAAAGTGGATGTTCCGTATCGAAAGTTGGAGTTTCCACCACCCATCAATCAGCCAGTCACTCTGAGAAGTAGCCACATTTGAATTCTCAGGAATGCCAGATTGGCTTGCAAAGAACTAAGAAAAAATTGGCCTGCAAAGAATAAAGAACTAACTATTTAGCATGATTTATCAAAATAATGGTTAGAAGTACTTGTTTAATTTATACTTTGATTTCTGAGTTTTAGTAGAATGGAATTAGCGTCCCGATCCAAAGAACCCTTGACACAGTGAAAATTTAGGGTTCTTGAGGGCTAGGTTTTGAATATATATATATATATATATATATATATATATATATATATATATATATATATATATATATATATATATGTATATACATATATATATATATATATATATATATATATCTATATATGTATATACATATATATACCTCTGTGTGTGTGTGTGTATTTATGTATAATCTCTATATGGATATAATGGTTTAAATAATTATTTTAGGTTTGAATTTTAACTATTTAAACTCATTAAGGTGTGACAGAAACAATTTATGAAGGAATAAATTAAAGCTAATTTATTTGAGTTAGAATTTGTAAAGATTTTTTATCAATGTCATTCTCACCCTCTAAAATAACAAGAGCTTTGTCTGTAACTTTCTATTTGGCCACAATAGAAAGAAGTTGGCAATCTTAATTAGGCCACAAGATTGGTGATTACAGTGGCGAGCCTTTGCCACCCGCGGTGTACGATCTGGATCGCGAACGCGCGAAATCAGAGTGGCGCAGCAGAAGCGTGGTCTTGAAGCTTGCCATGAGGCAAGGCTGTCAAGGTTAAGGAAGTAGTTCCCGAGTGTTCAAAGAGAGGGCTTTGAACGAAAGTCGATGGTCAAGGACTTTCACACTTGTGCAAGAACCATGTTATAGTGGTCAGAGGACTTGCCAAGCGAGATTGGCAAGTCAGGGGAACAAATACCCTAGTTGAAGGTGATAACTTCAAAAAGGGTGGGCCATGGGGCCAAGCATGGAGGAGTCCATGTATGATCACAAACTTGTCAAGTGAGAGGACTTGGCAGTGCGGGGGAATTAGGTTCCTAAGTTGTGATCTGTAGCGCGCTTTAAGTATAAGTTGGTGCACCGGCGTGGGGAGTCACGCCAGGCATCTTGTGTGATGCCGTCCGTAGATGCATATACGGAGGTTGGGTTCGAGTCCCGACCCTCTAGTGCTTGGGTTCGAGTCCCAAATCACTAGGGCGTGGTGATGCTTTGGAATATGAGGACACTCATATTTCGGTGGTCATGGACTCTCAGTGTGGAGACTGGTTTGGGCACACCGCCAAGCGAGGGATGCCTCGGAGTCGTGATGCACGGTTAGATTGCTTAGTGTGAAAGCTCGGCATATCTAACTTGAACGCTTTGGTGCAAGTGGCACCAAATACGTGGTGAGTGAGATGGGGACACCTAATCTCGGTTGCTATGAACCCTTGGCCGTAAGGGCTAGCTTGGGTGCACCGCCAAGTGTGGGGGATGCCCCCGGGGTTATAGTCAACAACTTAAAGGTCTAGAAGACCAAATACCTCTTGGCAACTCTGTTAAAGTGCCAAGGTGAGATCACTAGGTGATCTTATGGCCAAATAAGGACAAGGTCCTTGGTTGGCTAAAGAATGAAGTTCCTGGTTCAAAATGTTGAAATTGAACTGTTTAAGGTGGTGTGGCTTGGTCATGATGACCAAGTGGGAAGAGCACCTAACGGAAATAAACTATGTTCGTGCGATGGCATAGTGAGTTCGAGGAAAGTAGTCTCTATAAGAGACCCATGGGAGGGTCACGAAGTTGGGCCGTGGATAGAGCCCATAGCAGAAGATGCTAAAGAGACGTGCTAGGGGTGAACATCCTCCGGACTTGGCAAAGAAGAGTCTTTGCTATGGAACCGAAAGGATACCTCAAAAATGGAGGTAGCGATACTATGTTGCTGGGTGCAACAATCAAGGGTAGGAGTAAAGGACTAGTGGCCAAGTTTGGGCCATAGAATTTAATGGAAGGGATCCAAATGGCAAAGTTAGCCAAGGAACACTAATGTGTTTGATGCTAACGGTTTGTGGGAAAGGAAGTGGACTTCCAAGGATGGATTCCTAAGTGCTCCAATTTGGCGAAGTAAAAGCTCCAAGTGAGGGAGCGGCAAAGTAGCCAAAAGATAAGGCCGTGGACAGCCTTAGCACCAAAATATGATAACTGGAACTCAGTGCCCAAAGGTGGCATAAAATCGAACAGAGGATGATAGTGCCCTCAAGTGGAGAACTTCCTAGGATGAGGAAGTGGAGTTGCACAATATGTGCAATGCAAGGTGTCGGAGACACCTAGGAAATTGACTTCGAGAAGTCAGAATTAAAAGTTCCAAGGTGCATGGATTATGTCGAGGGAAAGTGAGACCACTCGAGAACGAGTAGTGGGATCGAGTTAGAGAAGGTGACTCTAAGAGGTTTAGTGAGAACTAAACCAATAAAAAGAGAGAACCACCACAAGTGGTCAAATGAGCCTCTAAGTTGGAGAGGCTATGCTCCTTACAGGACGGACAAGGCATGGTGAGCCTTTGGTGTCAAACCATAGACAAATATTGGCTAGGTGCCAAGGATGGAAATGGTAACACGTGTGGGTGTTACTTTATGAAAGGGTTTACTGTTCGATGAGGACATCGAACTTTGTCTATGGGTGGTGGAGTTGTGAGACACAAAATCCCTAGGCCCCAAAGTGGAGCCGGAAGGGTGCCATGTGGTGGTGGCCGAAGCGAAAACCAAACGAGCGTAACACGTTTGGACTAAAAGCTCCGACTCGAAAGGTTGAGAGCAGGAGTGGAACTCCCAACAAAGGGCTCAAGGAACAAGCACGAAGCGAGCAATAAGCGAAGCTCCTAAAAGGGACCCAAAAAGGACCAACACATGACACGAGGAAGTGTCCGAGATGGACCCAAGTTCGGGTCCGAAGTGGAGTCCGAGATGGATCCGAAGTGGAGTCCGAGGTGGACCCGAGATGGAGTCCGAGATGGAGTCCGAGGTGGAGTCCGAGGTGGAGTCTGAGATGGACCCGAGATGGAGTCCGAGGTGGAGTCCGAGATGGACCCGAGATGGACCCGAAATGGAGTCCGAGATGGAGTCCGAGATGGACCCGAGATGGAGTCCGAGATGGACCCGAGATGGAGTCCGAGGTGGAGTCCGAGATGGACCCGAGATGGACCCGAGATGGAGTCTGAGATGGACCCGAGATGAAGTCCGAGGTGGAGTCCGAGATGGACCCGAGATGGACCCGAGATGGACCCGAGATGGAGTCTGAGATGGACCCGAGATGGAGTCCGAGGTGGAGTCCGAGATGGACCCGAGATGGACCCGAGATGGACCCGAAATGGAGTCCGAGATGGACCCGAGATGGAGTCCGAGATGGACACGAGATGGAGTCCGAGATGGAGTCCGAGATGGACCCGAGATGGAGTCTGAGGTCGAGACCGAGATCGAGACCGAGACCGGAACCGAGACCGAGACCGAGATCGGGACCGAGACCGAGACCGGGGCCGAGGCCAAGACCAAGCCCAAGTCCGAGTCCGAGTCCGAGTCCGAGTCCGAGTCCGAGTCCGAGTCCGAGTCCGAGTCCGAGTTCGAGTCTGAGAGGGTGAAAGCCCAAAGCGTTCGTCTCCCAGACCCTAGGGGGTTTGGTGAGCTCCAAAAGTATAGTAGGGGGGAGGACTGCAGTGGAGCCAGTTTGGCCAGGAAAGGCCAGTTTGGCCCAGGAAGGCCGGACCCAGTGTTGGGTGATGAGCTGCCCACTGGGAAGTCCAAGACTAGAGTGAACACGGACCGACAAGTGGGGTAGCTTGGTGAAGTGTTCAAGAGCCGGCTCTAGTTCCCCCGGGAGATCGACTGGCCGATGCTCCCAGTCCAAGTGTGGGTGGCACTACCTACTTGGATACCTGTCGTGGCTCAACGGAACCTCGCTCTAAGCCCATGGCTAGAGCACCTAAAGGCAATAAGCAGAGAGAGTACCCATGAGGCTTGCGTAAGGCCACGGTGTTCCGAAACGTTGTCCCGAAGGCCCAGACTGTGGAAAGGCAGAGGAGTAGTTCTCTGGTGTAGTGACTAAGGATACAGTCGTGTGGTGAGGAAGTCCCAGAGGACTGTGGGACTTAGTGGTCGGGCCTATGGGCCTTGATCCAGTGGCAGTGTTGGCGAATACGGTCATGGCCAGAAAGGGGCTTGGTAGGGATCAGAAAGGGGATATTGGGGAGGGCTATTCCCCATGTCTGTGGGCATCTTAAGGATGCTAAGGAGTGGATCGGGGATGATCCCTCATGGACGGATGGCCCAGTCTTTGAGAGACAGGACTGTGGTGTAGGTGGTGTTAGACCACCGGTGTGACCAAGGTGAAAGGGCATGGCCTAGCGTAACGGGCTGGTATGTTGGTGGTACCTTGGAGTGCTGGTCATGGGATCGGACACGTGGAGCACTTGGACCAAGTGCTAAGGTTGAGTGGCATGGATGCCATTCTCAGGGCTAGCAGGCCCCAAGTCTTGAGTTGGACTTATGGAGGTTGTGACTGAGACTCCTCCAAGTGGTCGGAGGTGCAGTTAAGTGACTAAAGTAAAATGGAAAAATTAGTCGCTTACACATACTGTCCAAACCTTTTTCTCCTTCCCTGAGTCTGCTATTGAGGTTGTTCAGAATGTGTATCTGTTCCTCATATGTAAGCTTTGACTTTGAGATGTTGTAAATAATCTCATCTGGAGTCTTGCCCACTAAAAAATAACTTTTGTGAGTAACCTTCATGTAAACACAAACAATACGTACTTTCATGACAAGCAATCTCTATTATAATATCAAACCACTCCTTTGGGCATCGAGGGTCAGACACACTAAATAATTTCTTTACCTTTGTCTTCTTTGTGTTGTTGATTTTCTTGTCAATTGCAGCTAAATGCTTCGAGAGTTCTTGATCATTTTCAGCTCGATGCAACTATGCATATGCATCTTGCTTAACCTTCACCAATGGCTGAAAACAACACAAACATTCTATGATAAGAAGTATACTTGGAAGAACATACCTTACTCCGCACAGCTGTCATAAAAGCCACTA